TACAGGCACATGAGGGTAGCAGAGTTTTGCTGGTATCTGTGTGCATGTGGAGGCAGAGGGAGAGACACAAAGGAGTTGGGTCGGGACTGAGCAGGAAGAAAGGGATGCTCCAACTAGAGAGGTGATGCAAGTATGAAGATGGTGTGTAAAATGGAGAAGCCAAAAAGTTCTGTCCTAGTCAGGATGTAGAATCATAGAATTCTGGAAGGGACCTTTAAATATCATCCAGTCCCAGCCCCAGCCCAGGTGTGTGCTGCTCAGGTCTGTGTCCTCTTGCCCTTCATGATGTGAGCACAGAAGGGACCATGTTGCCATTAACAAAAACACTTCTTCAGCTTTCCCTAGATCCCTTCTGAGTGCTGCAAACATTCCTGCCAAGGCAAACAATTGTTTTAAATTTCTTCAGAAGGACAAAATGATTGCTGCTGGATGCTGGAGCAGGGATTTGGCTGGGAGTGGAACAGCCAGTTTCCAGGAGAAGGGAGTTCAGCAGAAGACTCTCTTCCTAGAACTGACTCATGAATTACTTCTGCTTAATGGTCTTATAGACAGCTCCTAATATCAAGAATGGCAAGAATCATAAAATCATAGAATGAGTTGGGCTGGAGGGGTGTTCAATTGGTCCTTGCTCAAGGTTTGCTGAATCAATGGGAGAAGGGGGACCCTGGAGAAGGAAGGACAGCACAGGACAGGTCTGACATTCCCCCAATAAGCAAATGTGAGGGCAGAGAGCTGAACTCTTCCCCTATTTCTAGCTGCAAGGTCATTGCTGCATCTTCAGGCACCCCAGCCCTGTCTGGTATTTGCAGTATTCCCTGCTAATTCCAATTTCATTTGCAGTCTAATGCAATGTGGATGTGCAAAACCACATAAACTGTCCAAAGAGCCGGGGTGCTGCTGGGGCTGGGCCTCACCTGTTGGCGCGGTGCTCAGCTGCGGCTCGTGTGTCCCTGGGGGATTTTAGCAGCAGTTGGAGGAATGATTCAGGCAGTGTTTCTGGGACATGGCCAGGAAGGACAGGAGTGGTGCTCTGTCCTGCACTAGTACAAAAACGATTAGAGCATTAGAGCCATGCCAGAGGAGCAACTAAAGCAGCAGATGCATTTAACCCTCCCGTCCTGCCGGGGTGTGAAGCCTGGCAGCTGCTGTGATCCAGCCAGGAGGCAGTGGCAGCAGGGCTGGGTCAGGGGCTGCAGACATTGCCCACATGCCTCCCCTCAGCTCGGCTCCGAGCTGCTGCTCCTCCTTGCAAAGAATTCTCTGGAGCTATTTTTAAGAGCACTGCCCAGGAGATGGCTCAGGGTGCAGTTGGGAAGTGCTCATCCTGGCAGCGCTGCCTTTGGGACAGGGAGCGCCGGTGTGGGTTTGTAAAGGTCCCTCTTTGTGTTTATTTCCTCCAGCTAGATGTGTTTATTGTTCGTGGCTCATTTTCCAGTGCTGCCTTGGAAAGGGGCTTTTGGATTCTGCTTCTGGCTGCTCTAAAGCCCCTGGGTCTGTGTTTCAGTTCCCGCTGAGCTCCTCTATCTCCAGACTTTCTCCTCTGCTGGTTTTTGCAGGGGCTGTTTACTGCAGAGTTACTGGGAACTGACAACACAACAGCAATAAGTAAAAAAGCGTGGGCCTGATTAAAGTGTGCCTGAATAGCATCAAATTTATCAAGGCTGGTATTTCCTTTTTGCGAAAGCTTATTTTGCTCTTTGAGAAGATCTTAACCTTAGAAGAAATTTTTCTTCTTGCACATTTCACTTCTGGGGTTTGAAATCACCTTCCTGACACCCTCAAAGCTCCCTGGGCTTTTTCTTTCCTTAGCTCCTGCTCCTGGCAGACCCAGGCTGTGGGATGGGACAAGCTGTTGTGCTGCATGCACTGGGCTCTCCCAGGGTGGCTGGCATTTGTCTCCTGCTTTGCTGCCAGGGCCAAGTTTTCCTCTGTGCTGAGCTCCCAGGCTCTGCCAGCCACGCAGATAAATAATAAATTCAGGGATACTCCAGGCCAGCTAGATGTAATTGTTATGGCTGGACCCTTTCCTCTAGGCTGGGCTTTGTCACAGTGCCACTAAACCCTCAGTGTGGGTTTTTTGGAGGCCTGCAGTGGAGGCCACTGCATCCCTTGGTGCCCTGGGCATGTGTGGCTCAGCCGGGGCAGATGAACTTCAGATACCATGCCATGTCTCTGAAAGCCAAACATTCCTCACCTGGCTACTGCCAGATAAATGATGTCAGCAGCAGAGGGACCCAGCACAGGGCATCAGTGTCCCTGCTGGGGCCAGGCTGGCTGGCAGAGCAGTGCTCCCCTGGGATGCCAACAGGCCTGACATGTGGTCTGCTGGAGCTGCCAGATTTGAAAGTGCAGCTGTGTTGACTGCAGTCCCCCCAAATCAACCACCTCTGGATGACTTTGCCAGCAAGGGACAGGAGCAGAGGTCAGCTGTGTCCCATGGAGTGAGAGCTGCCGTGGGGCAGTGCAGGATGCCAAAGCTGTCCTGCTCAGCTTCTTGTCACCACTGCATGTGTGCAGGCAAGGAGCTGCCCCAGAGTGTCCCTGCCCTCACAGCCCTCATTGTAGAGCTCTGCTACCCTTGGGGCTGTGATGTCTCACGGCAATGGCTCAGCTCCCCACCACCCACAGCATCCTCACTGCAGCCTCTGCAGCCCAGGCTGGATCTTCTTGGTCTTGCCATCTCTCCTTCTGCAGGAATTGCAGTCAAATGGCATCCAGCAGCTTCTCTGGAGGAAAGCAAAATTCCAGCAGAAGAAAAGCATAACTGGGAGCTACCTCAGCCTCCAGCATCTCCAGGCACCAAGGGATGCAGTGCTGCTCGCAGCCCTCCACAAGAGAGCCCTGTTCTCAGGTGCTGGGAGAGAGCTGAGCATGCAGGAGCCACCTGCACCCACTTGGTGACACATCCAGCTCTGCCCTTACTAGTGAGAGCAGACCCCCATCTAGTGCACTTCCAGATTACTTCTTTGGGAGCTACTTCGAGGAAAGCCCTTGCCAGGAGCTGCCTGCTGGGGCCAGCTGGGTGATTGTCTGGCTGGGAATTGGTCAGGATAGCATCTGCCTGGCTCAGAGAGCAACTGAAAGGGAGAATTTTATCTCTTGATGGTGAATCTCATCCTTCAGGAGCAGCAGGACAAAGGCAGGGCCTGGAGCACGTCCTGCCAGGATGAAGAGCTGAATCCTCCCTTGGAAAGCCTCTTGCCTGGGGCCGGCGCCAGGCAGGCTGTGTGCCCCAGGCACAGCACACCCAGCCCACTCTGATCCCCCAGGCATGGAGAGCACACACACATTCCCCTTGGCCCCTGCCAGATTATAGTGGAATTAATCATGCTGATTATATTGCTACCAAAAAAGGAGGTGCTTTCTCTGTCCAGAACTGGCTCAGACCCCCTGCTTGCAAGCAGCAGCCTAAAAATGCTGTTTTCTGCCTCATCATGTCTCTGGGTTTTCCAGGAGCTGTAATAATTTTGGATAAAAAGACCAAGAATGACTGCAATCCCAGGCAGCTCACCCTGCAGAGAAAGCAGGGAGATAACATGTGATTGTGGGCAGGGAGGTGAATCATGGCTCCAGCAGAGTGGGATGTCATCCCAGGGAGGGACAGGCTGAGCCACAGCAGCTCTGCACCCTCTTCTCTATCCCAGGGCCCTGAGAAGTGTTTTTGGCTCCTTGTCAAGTCACACTGTTGCCTGTATCAGTTGGGATTGCTGCCCTACTTTCAGTTCTTTCCCTCCAGCTACTCAGAATGGCATATGTGTGTATCTTCTCCCTTGTAAGGGTCTCAGAACAGCATCTCTATCATCTTTTCATTGCACCTGTTGAGTATTCAAACTTCAGCTTGTCTTGTCTGCCTACTGCATTTCAGTTTAATGGGAAGGAATCAATCCTCATTTCATTACTAACAGTCCAAAAATTCCTCTGGAGCGTTTTCACTGCAGGAATGAGAACTGCATCTTTCCTCCTTTTTTGTCCTAAAACATGACCAGATACCAACCTGCATGTGAAAAGGGCTCACCAGACCACATTAAAGGTTGTAATTTAGGGTGAATTGGAGTTTGAGGAATGCTAACTGCTTATCACACAAAAATATATGGATTTGCACATGAAATGAGGAATATGGGGAGCCTCAGAAAATCTGACAGTGAGAGCACAGGGAATGCAGCTCTCAGTGAGACCTGAGTGCAACAAAGCAGCTGAATATACTGTTCTTCACCTACCCTTATTTTTAAGGTGCAACATTGCTGTTTGAAGTCAGCTCCTTCCCAGCCTGTGAGCAGCTGGGCTGTAAAGCCATCCCTGCTTTTAGCAGGAAGATCACAGGGCCCCGAGCACGAGGCATGTGAGGAATATGACAGCCGGCCAGTAAAATAACTCCCAGAGCCTGCAGCCCTGTGGAGCAAGGAGGAGATGTGCTGGGAAGGAGTGGAAAGGATTCAGAGAGCCAAGCTGAGAGGGAGACAGTAGCTCTAGTGAGATCAGCCTTCAGGCTGCAGTGAGTAAAGGAGCCCCTGGACAAGGCATGTTGTTTGCTGGAGAGCTACGAGAGAAAAATTTCTGGGAAAAGCCAACTTGTGTGCTGAGCAGGGGCACACTGCCCCTGGTGAGGTGCAGCAGCTCAGGGCTGGTGATGCACAGAGGAGTTCAGCCACCAACCATGCCTGTGTGATGCCTTGGTCATTCCTCTGAGCAGCACAGCAATGAGCCCATTCTGCAGTGCCGGCTGCCTCACTGCAACATGTGAACATGCTCACATTTACAAATACCCATGCCCTGTTCCCTGTCTGCAGCCTTCCCACCTTACCCTTGAGCAGCTGGGCCCTTTCCATGTTGAAAATCTGCTCTTCTCTCCCTGAGTGTAGGATTTTGGGTCATGTGGGCAAATTCTGAGTGCTGTTACACCAGCTGGGCTGATGCAGTTGTGGTGGCAGCCAGGGTTTGCTGTGTGATGGGATGACCTTGGCTCAGAGGGTGCTCACTGTTCTCCCCTCTTCTCTCTGCAGGACGGCTCATGCCAAAGCCAAGGCTGAAGGGTCTGAGCAGGCAGCTCAGGCAGCCAACAATGAATCAGGCATAGCCAGAATGATGGCCAGGGAGCTCTCCCCAGACTTCTACCAGCCAGGTAGGATCAGATGCATCTTTCAAGAGGGGCCTTGCAATTTCCACAGGGAATCTGTTCAAGTGCTTCACCCACTTAATAACTCCACAAAATGCTCTCCTGTCTATCCTTTTGCTCTACAGCCAGCCCCTTGTCCTGGGTGTTCTCCTGACACCACTGTTTTACTCACTGTGGTTCCATAGCCTGGAGGAAAACCCCACAGTTTCTGAGCTTCTCATGTTTTTCCATACACTGAAGCCCTCAGAACACCAGGCAGGACAGGCAGCAAGCTCAGGGATATCTGCAGCTCTCCTGTAGATACATCCCTTGTGGCTTTTTCTTGGAACAGTGTTGCACATTGACTCACAAACCCACATCCTGTGGGGCCTCAGAACAATCAGACTCTGCTAATTAGGGGCTGTAATATCCTATAAGAAAGCAGCTAATACAAAATACTATTTTCCTGATTCTCTATTAATTTGTTAGTATCACTGCTAATTATTTGGCTGGGTAAACACTTGGGAGGTTCCTTCTGTGAGATCAAGCACTGAGGATTAGTAGATGAGAAGTGTCATATTAGAATCAGCATTGTGAATGCCATTACTCTTCCCTGGTCTGAGTTAGCTAGAGATATTTTCTTCCTGGAAAACTTTCCTTTACAGAGAGGGAAGGTAATAACAGAGCAGAAAATAAAATTCCAAGTGCCTACATTTTCATCCTGGCTTTCTTATTATCTGGATTTATTGCCTGGAGTGAGTGTCCCATGGTTACTGAGGCATGATCACAAGGGACTATCACAGTGGTAAAACTGGGGGTAGAAGCCAAAGGTTGACTTGTGCTCAGCAAAACCTGACACCTGCCCCTACTCTGATTTTGGGGTCTCTGCATCTCCTGTACCACTCCCAGCACAGGGCACACAGTGGGGAATGGGAACAGCTCAGAGCTGGTGCCTGGCTGGGGAGAGTCATGCTGACAGATTTTCCTAAATTCCCCATTCTCTCGCCTTGTCCTGCATCATGAGCTGGGGAAATGCCATGCTGGAGGGCTGCCTCTTCCTCCCCAGCACCCAGCAAGGCCTGTTGGAGCTGGCATTGAGTGGGGAATCACCAGAGCACCCTGGCATGGGCATGAGCCAGCCCATGGCACTTCATTGAACAATGGCTAAATGTCACTTGATCCTCACATAAGCCCCCCAGCTGCCACTCACAGCTCTACATTCACCCTTTGCACACTGGGGTATTTATAGAACAGAAACAAAGGAAACTGGAATCCCTATGGGGAGGTTTTGGACATCTAGCTAGATTAGTTTTTCCACCCATGGCAATTGAATGAGACAATTGAAACAGTCTCTGTAAAACACTTGGGGCAGCCTGACCTCCATTCCTGGCTCTTCAGGTGCTGGATCCTCTTGCTGCTGTTGTGTAGGGCCTCACTTGGGTCCTGGCCTCTCTCAGTGGCCTTCTAAGCTCCTGATGCATGTTATTCTTCTATGATCCTTTTAAACCTCTAAATTCCCAAAGTGCACAAGGATATATCTCTTCTCACATGGTTGTACCATCCAGGAACAAACAGACAGTAGTCCAGCCTTGGGTTTTGCTAGGACTGAGAGCTGCTGCTCACACAGCCTGGAGAGCCCGGCTGTGTTTGGTAGCTGTATTTCTCCCTGCTGTCCTGGCAGATTGACCATGCTGTGTCTGGCACAGGCAATCCTGCTCAGCAAGCCCCATATCCCTAATAACTGTTGAGCCCTGAATTTCAGGGTATCATCCCTGGTAACTTGGAGAAGGATGTAAGCCAAAACCCTTGCTGAAATGTGCTTGGAGATGAAGATGAGGAGCTGAGTGTGTGCCTTCCAGGCAGTTGGGGGTTTTTGTGTTGTAAATTACTCAGGAAGAGAAGAAAGCAGCAGGAGAGAGCAAGGAGCCTGGAGCTGCAGGCAGCCTATTTTGAGGAGTCTGAACAACTGTTGAAATGGCTTCCAAATAACTCAGTTGCAGCCAGAAATAAATGGCCCTGAATGGGTCATCTGCTGATTGACAGGAGTGTGCAGGCAGAGCAGAGCAGCTGAATTCAGTGCCCTCCTTTTCCTCACTGCCCCTCTGAGTGGAGGCATTGCCTGAATGGACAGGAGGTAGCAGTGTGCAAGTCATACCACTGACTTATGAGAGCAAAAGGAGCACCAAGCCAAATTTCCCAACCAGACTCAGGTCTGCATCAGTCCTGGAGATGGAGGAGATGAGAGGAGGGACCTTAAGGCATCCAGAGGCAGTGTGGCTCCAGGATCTGTGTTGTTCAGGAGCACAGAGCAAGCCCTTGTCAACATCTCTGGGGTTCAGCAGAATGAGGCCAGAGCAGGTGCTTTGCTTTCAAAGAAGCTGCTCTGCAACCTCACACTGCACAGGAGGAGCATGATGCTCTTGTTCTCACTTGTTATGAGCATCAGGGTGATGTGTGGGGACCCTTCTCCCAGCATATGACAGCACGTGGAGCACTGTGGAGGGTTGTTATTCCACAAGATATTCCCAGTTCTTTAGTGATGCATTTTGGTGGATATCTTCAGTGTCAGGCTCTGTCTGAATTCCCCTGGCCCAGGCTGGGCTGCAATTTGTAATAGGGTTAATAAGAAGTAAAGATTTAATGATAGGTGAAAAATTGAAGTGAGGCAATGTTGCTAGGAACTCACAAGTCAGTGTGTGAGATGAGGCCAAAATGAAATCTGAAGCCCTGAGTCACCTTTCGTGATGGTGCCAGGTAATTTTGCTGCTGTTGTGGAGCTCAGGGCAGACAAGAGGGCTGTACAATTTCCAACCCTGTTCCATATATAAAAAACATATTTTTCCTATCATGATGGATGGCACATAGATAATCTGGGGACCCTGCCTTTCCAATGACACTGATCATGCTGTGTACCCTGTGAAGTTACCATGCTATTTGACACCATGGAAGCCACATGGAAGAGTTTCCCAGCCATTAAATAAAAAACTAAAAAAAGTTCATTGGGAGCTGTGAGCTTAGCTTATCCCCAGCATGTATCTGGGATGTATCAGCACATATATGGGAGCTGTATCCTGAGCTTAGCCCCAGCATGGCCTCAGCCATCTGTGTGACCACATAAAGCTGGGCTGCAGATTTTCATTGTTTTATTTAACCTTATCTGCAGCACCTGCCTGCTCTTTCAGCTCTTCCCAACGGGACAGCCCACAATAAGGCTTGGAGCCTTCGGCAGTTCCTAGAGGAAGTTCCTTCTGGCAGCAGGATCTGCTTTGGGAGTTCCTCCTCTCCCAGACTCCCGCCTGGACCCTTGCACCATGGTCCCCAAACCCATTGCTGCTGGGGGCACAGCTGCCAAGGCCATGATGGTGCCATGGCACTGGGCCCCTGTTCCATAGTGACTCCTCACACCAGCCCTTCTCTCCGCAGGCCCCGAGTACCAGAAGCGGAAGCTGCTGCAGGAGATCATCGAGAACGCCGAGCACGCGGTCAACATGGAGGAGGAGGCGCCACGGCCCGAGGCCGCCCCACCGCCCCCCACACCGCCCGAGAGCCCCCAGCTCCATGAGCAGGAGGAGCCGCGGCCCCGCACCAGCCCGGCGCCCAGCCCTGCCGCCACCCCTCCCGAGGCCAAGCGGGCCAAGGCGGCCCCCCGGCAGGACGGGGCCCTGCGGCCGGGCAGCTGGGCCGAGGCGGGCGGGCGGGCGGGCGATGGCAGCCCGGCACCCTCCGAGGGCGAGGGCCGGCCGGCCTCGCGGGGCCGCGGCCGTGGCGCCGAGCAGATGGAGATCGGGCCGCTGCAGCGCATGGCGCGCGAGCCCGACGTCGAGCTCTTCAAGGGCTACCACAGCTACGCCGTGCGGACCTCGCCGGTCACCCCCGCCACGGACTATGAGGAGGAGCAGTTCCCCGAGAATGAGCCGCCCTCCCCGGAGCCCCGGGGGGAGCCCCAGCGCCGGGGGGGCACCCCTGGCCCGCCGCAGGGACGTGAGGAGAAGCCATCGGCTGCGGCGGAGGCCAAGCCGGAGCCGCCTCGGCCCAAGGAGCCGCAGCAGCGCCCCAGCCCTGAGCGCAGGGCCCTGGGCCGGGCCGAGCCCGCGGCCGACAGGAAGACTGAGGCGAGGACACCGGGCCGGACGGAGCCCAAGGCAGGGGCCAAGCGCGGCCCGGCCCAGGCGGCGGCAGTGGTGGCAGCACAGAAGGCGGAGGAGTGTGAAGAGGTGATGTGGGGCATTCCTGGGAGCCTCCTGGGAGCCATTTTGCCTTTCCTTTACTGTTCCCCATGAGGTCTGGCAGGACCCAGAGGGATACAGGCCCCCCTGGGCCTGCCTCTTCCTCCCCAGCACCCAGCAAGGCCTGTTAGAGCTGACAATGAGTGGGGAAACACCAGAGTACCCGAGCATGGGCATGAGCCAGCCCATGGCACTTCAGGGCCTGGGGCTGCAGTGGTGCCAAGTGGTGCCTGGAGGCTCTTTTTAGGATCCTAGAGCCCACTGGAGGAGTGTTGGCATCCCCATCTCCTGCCACCTTCCCAGCCTGCCCTGCCTGGATGCTTGCCCTGACATTCATAACCTTCCTGTTTTGACCTCCTCTCTTTACCTGGGCAGATATGCTTTCAGACAAGTCATATTTCAAAATTTGTGCAAAAGCAGGCGTCTTCCAAATAATTTTGTCCACTTTTCTCACCTTCTTTTCCCACCCCATTACCAACCAACTTGGATGTGAAAGTTGGGGGAAAAAAACCAGGAAGAGCTCAAGTGTGTTTCTCTTTTACCCATTACTTTTTTTGCTATAGGGGCACCTCATGAGCTGAACTGTGGTGTTGAATCACCAGCCAATTTCCCAGGTTTAAAATATAGTCACTGAAACTTAATTTTGCTCTTAGCAAATACAGCTGGAAACCCAGACATTTTATTAGCCCTCTGAGTCCCATCTTGCAGTCCTTTGGACGTGAATGATTCCGATGTGACTTTAGAAAAGCACAGCTTGGAAATACTTTGGTCTGAAATTACAGCAATCTCACATGGTTTCATTTGTTGGGGTTTGGAAATAGATGATCTTCAAGGTCCCCTTCCAAACCAAAGCATTTTATGATTCTATGATATTAAAAATGACAAGTTTACAAACACAGGTAATGTGGATGCAGAAGGAAGTTGGGAGAAGCAGCCTGACATGGGATCAGGAGTTCATGTTCCTGTGGTCAGGGTCTCCTTTAATCTAATTTAGCTGCAAAAGAAGCCTGATTTAACATCCTTCAAATGAATTTGCAGGGAAGAAGTAGGAATAGGAGAGGATAAACATTCCACTAGTTTGAAATTCAGGCTGGTTGTTAAGTGCCAGATTTCAGTGCATTGGGAGGGGGTGATTGTGGCATTTTTGAGCAGCAGAATCAAGCTATGTCTTTCTGGAGCTGTGGTGTGTAATACTCTATTTTGGGTTTTTCTTTCAGGGACCTAATACAATTGTGATCTGCATGGTCATCTTACTGAACATTGGTCTGGCCATCCTATTTGTACATTTTTTGACATGATGAGCCTCTTGAACAAGGTAAGAAGCAGAATGAGACTTTATCCTCAATTTATAGGTGCCACTGGATGTTTTAAGGTTAATTCACTTTTCAGAAATGCCATAAAATTATTGCATGAAATTATTTCATAATTTCATACATTTTCTCAAAATTAAGAACTGTGTGGGTGGGATACAGTCCCATCATACAGTTTTGCCTTCCTAGTACCATGGGCATGTTTCATGGAGTAAGAATTCCATTGCAAGAGTGTGTGATGTTAAATTTGAAATTTGTTTACTGCAAATGCTTCAACAAACACTTTAAATTTTCTGTTTCAACATGGCTGCTCCCAAGTAACTTGTGCATTACAGTATTTCTTGGCACTCAGACCAGCAAGATGCAAGAACACATAAAAAATGTGAAACTGTGAAAACTGCAGCTCTAATTGCACCAGTACTAGTTCTGCAGCAGTTAATTAATTGTTTTACTAAAGATAAATATGAATCAAGATGTCTGTAAGACTGGAGCTTGTCAGGTCTTGCACTTGAATTGGGATAAGGGTTTACATTTGGATTTGGTGGCAATGAAACCTTGTGAGGTTTCTCATGCCTGTGGTACTCCTACAGACAGGAAAGTGTCTGAGCTTGCACAGAACTTGTCTTGGGCTCAAATATTTCAAACCAAATCTGCCATCAAGGCTGAACCTGGACTGGACGTAACACAAGAGACACCTCTAAGCCCCTGTGAGGATATTGGGCTGCTTTCCCTGGACCTCCTGGGGGACAAATCTGCTCTGCTGGGCACTGCTTTCTGTCATGTTTTTGATCTCACTCAGCCTGCACAGCTGGAAGCCTTGCAGGCAGCTGTAGTCATGTGTTGGTCATGTGTTTTGCTCTCCCTTGACTTTCCCATTTATCTGTGTCTGGGACAGGCGTCGCTGCTGGTGGAGACCTCAGACCTTGGCGGGGATTAAAGCTCAGCCACCTGGAAACACCTAAGAGGAGGACTTAAGATCCCAAGGTTGCACTGCAAACATCAACCTTAAATGAGAGTGTCTGAAGATCAATTCAGTTTCCTGCTCCCAGGCTGTGGCTGGCCTCTGCAATCTACCAAGGAAAACCAGGGTTTCTGCACTGTGGTCTCCTCTTCTTTGTATAAAATAGCAGTTGCCTTAAATTATTCTCACCAAAGCCATCAACTGTCCTGCCATGCCAGGGATGAGGGATTTATCTGTAGCTGTAGGAAAATGAGTGAGAAGGTCTCATACGTGCACACTGATGTGTTTTGTAACTCCCTTGGTTGACTCAGTGTCAGAGATTTTCCAAAGATTGTCATCCATGGCATGGAGATGAAGCAATCCAGCAAGCAGAATGACTCATGAGAGCCGCGCCGTGGCTCGGGGTGGACGGCGCTGCTCTCCGTGCTTGGCAGTCATCCAAAGGGATGAACAAAAAGTCTTTCCTTTCCCCTGTCACCTGGCATCATTTTCCATGTATGGAGGACTGAGAGGGGGAGCAAGTTGAAATTGGGCTTGTTGAAGTGTGACCCGAGTCCTGCCCATGGATGGGGCCGCAGGCTGGGGGGTGAGGGACTGGTGGATCCAAGGCTGTTGGTGCCTGTGGGGGTGCTCTGGATGGAGATGGGGCCTCTTTGGGGACCAGGCACCATCCAAGCACTCTCATGCCTCCAACAATGCTCTGCACAGAAGCAGCTTGCAGTGGGTGGCTCCCACTGTAATGGGAAAGGCAGTAGGCGTGCTGAATTTGTCCCTTTACCCCTTTTTTTCTATGAAAATGTTGTGAGTTAAAATGAAAAGGAGGGTCTTGCTGAAAATGCCTCTGTACACCTGCAGGTTCCTCCCCTTGGTGTGCCAGGCTCTGGGGGGGTCCTGGCCTCTCATTGCACCCAACAAACACTTTCCAGCAGAGGATGCAGGGTGGCTATCGTGGAAGAGGTTACCTTATTCCTGAAAGAAAAAAGGTGCAGAGATATGAGTGACTGAAGTGTAATTGGGTGTTGGGCTCAGAAATACGCAGCAGCCAGGCTGTCAGCAGTGGCAGAGTACAGTGGGGCAGTGTAGCTGTTGCTCGTGTGTGCGAGGCTGAGAGGCCTGGGCGATTTGCACCCATTTTCCCAAAGCTGTGACGGGGAGTGAGCGACCTTTGGAAGGAGATTTTTCCACCATGATCTGCTCTGATCCTTAGCAGTGCGAGCTTAGAAAGTCGGCACAGATGAAGTTACAGTTTAGTGTGAGGCTGAGTGCTTGGACATGTTTTTTCCTTCTTTTAAGAGCAATGTGTATTTTCTATCCCTTTTTAAGATAATCAGAGATGTTATTTATAGTTGGTTGTGCACCTCTGTGTATCCTGAAGTCCCACAGCACAGGACTGGGTGGGAAAACTTTGTTGGACTGGAAAGAATGGGGAAATGATAGTTAAGGAAAAAAACAGATGCCCAGTCTGCTTCAAAGGTCAATCTGAAAGGATTTCAGAGACAGAGTGGCAGACACACAGGGGTTTACACTCATTGGAGACATGGGGCAAAACCTACCTAATTTATCTACTCTAGTTATGGCATAAGAGAGTGAGAATAATTCAGTACTTTTCTTTGTGAACCAAGTCTATTTTTTAACCTTACTGAGCTCAGGAACATTGCCACAGTAGCAAATATGTGGTATTAAGTGTGGGAGAAGTGAATGTGATCCTTTCCTAAAAGCCATGTGGCTGTACCAGTCCTGAGAAAGCTGTGCAGCATCATCTACACTTCCACAGAGCATAGTTTAGTAGCAGTTTGCTTCTTTTCTTTTTTTTTTTCTTTCCTTAAATATAAGTGTATTGCAAACCCCAGGCTCTGCTGCCTTTAATGTTTTGTCTCCATTTGCTGGCATTCACTTGCCAACTCTGCAGTTTCAATATCCCAACTGCTTTTATTCACCACCAAGACAATTTCCATTGAGAGACCTGAGGGGCTTTTATTTATCACTAGGCACAAAAATGGATCTTTTTCAACAGTGCTAAGGTAATTCCTTGTCCCCCCCTATTTTTTATGCATGTGATATGCACTCAGTAATGTGCTTTCCTCCTAGTAACCTTCTGAGAAAAGTAGGTAGATTTGCTTTTATGTGACGTATAACTGTATCCATATTGCACTGAGATATGGATATATACACATATTGAGAGAGCCCCTTAGGGATTTCATTTTCTTAGATGCAAAATACCAGATTTACCTCAAACTGCATGCTTTCAAAACTGACTAGGATTTTGTGTTATACTTTTCAGGTCTTACAAAGATGCAGATACCTTTCACTCTTCACACAAAAATACCTTCCTCACAGATTTTGTTAGCTGTTTACTACAATCTGTGTACTACTGTCCAGAGTTTTCTGTTGGTTGTTCTGCTGGATTATGTGCAATAATAAACAGTTATCTGCTCACTCTATCCATGTGGATTTTTGCAGGGGAATCTCCAAGTTTCTTTCCATGGTGACATATTCAGTCTAGTTTTAAAGCAGAGAGTAATGCAGAATTTCACTGGTGGCATCTGGATGCTTTTTAGCTTTTTCTTAATTATCTGTTTCAAAAATTTACATTTTTTTAATTGATGGGGGATACTTAGCAAAGAGAGTTGTTTTCACTAAATGCTTTTAGGCAGCCTTTAAGGAGCCTGCAACTCTCTGAGCACACTCCACGTGCTCCCATGGTGCTGGCCTCTGGCAGGGCTTGCACAGGGCCAGGAGGGAAGGCAGCTCGCTGGCCCAGAGCCTGCCCAGGCCATGCAGATGGCTGCTGACCGCTCCCTTTGCTGCCTCCCGACCCCAGGGCTGCTGCCAGGCTCATTCTGAGCTGTGCAACGCTGGCTGCTCCCCCTGGCTTTGGGGAGGGGGGATTCCCCACTGCCTGTGCCCCAGCCTCTCACTCGGACTCTGGAGACAGCCCGGAGAGAGGAAAGCCAGGCACGAGGCAGAGGGAAATGGCAGCTGGGTGATTTATGGGGGAGGATGGATGAGCAGAGCCCAGCACCAGCCCAGGGCAGCAGGGCCCTGGGGCCTGAGGAATCCAGAGTAGCCAAAGCCTCCAATCCTTTTTCTATTTCTGGAACGTCTCACATGAGCAAAGCCAGACTGTGTGGAGAGGCTGGGGGGACACAGGCTCAGCCTTCATGGGCTGGAGTGCTGTTTCTGTGGGTCTGAGGGGTCTCATGGCAGAAGATTTCATGCCCTAATAGAGACTGAAGGAGCTGGGTTTGATGAAATGATGACTTTACTCTCCTCTGCTCTTGCTTTGCTTCTGGTATGGAAGGAACCAGCTACACTCATTCATCAGTCAGGGGCAGCAGGGTAACTGGAGCCTTGTGCACCTCATAAATCTCAGGCTGATGAATGGAGCAGGTCCTTGGCTCATGTGTTGCAGAGGGAGTAGGGAGGGAGGTGGGTCTGCTGCTAAAGCAATGACACATTGCTTTAAAAGTGTTAATAAAGGCAGAATAAAAAGTCTGCAGCTTCCCCAGGGTAGGGGGGACAGTGCTGGGCTCTCTGCCTCAATAGCTCCTGGTTTCAGGGATAATGTCCCCACAGAGCCCAGCCAAATGTCCCCAAGGGCAGGCAGGGAGGTGTCTGATATGTGAGAACCAGGCTAAAGGCACTGGCCTGATCCTGTGTCGAAGGGCAGGAGCCTTACCCTCCACTGGTGGGAGGGAAGGTGCAATCTGAGCCTCAGTGTCCTCTGACAGTGACCTGCCCAGGCATCCTGGGGACAGCCACGCTGCACTCCACCATCCTTGTGGGGCATGGGGGCTCTCAGGAGCCACCCTCTCCTTTGGTCTTCATCTTTGCACAAGAGGAAGGGTCAGAGCTGGGGTGAAGGTGACCCTGACACTGAGAAGGTGCTGGAATGTGTAGAAGGGTTCCTGTGCTCCTCTCTGGCCCAGGAGCCAGGACTGGGTCTGGCTCCACACCACTGCCTTTGCTTCAGGACCCTTCTGGAGGAAGGTAGCTTGAGCCCCAGGAGCACTAATACATCAGGGAA